AGTGCGGCAGAGGTTATGGCTGCCTCCCCTGGTGCTTTTTTCATTGCCGTTGTACGGCGAGCCTAAATATCATATATACGTGAAATAAGTTATTTAGAGACTATGGATGGCGAGGATAAATGTAATAAAGGGATCTACAAACATTACATTAGTGACCTACAGTGAGATGGTAACAGGCATGCGCTTAGTGCCCGCTTTCCAGCCAGTTTCTGTGAGGTGAGGCAGAGCTCATCTGTGCCTCACCTCACCACACAGTACTGGCTTGAGCGCGCTCACAAAATAAGTGCCCGCGCTAAATTAGTGCCCGCGCTCCAGCCAGTTACTGTGGGTTTACGTGAGGCAGAGCTCGTCCCTGCCTCACTCCTCATCGCTCCCATGTAGTTGTAGCGGAGCTCGGCAAATTTGCTGATTTTGACTATAAAAAGCGATTGGAATCATACATAAATCACATTTACAATTTAGTTTTTCTTTAGTTGTTTTTCCGTTACATTGTAGTATGGCCAGTCTATGAGTATGACAGGTGAGGCTCTGCCTCCCCTGACTGCACGTCGCTGTATTCGAGCAATGCGTATCACAGTGCACTGAGATTTTTGACAAATTGTAAAGCACTTACGCATCACTGTACCCTGTATATACCAAGGCGGTTATGCCATCACTAACGGCCCGTCTACACTACAGGCATCGAAAAATGCTTTCAACGCTTCGCCCATTCATTTGAATGGGGTGACGTAGAAGATTTTGAATCTTCACCGAACTGCATTGTGGGGAGCGGAGCATGGCTTTGCAAGCATCGTGAGCATCAAAAGTTGAGCAATGTTCAACTTTTGATGCTCCCGATACTTTCGAAGCTGGCATCAGCCAATCAAATCCTGTGTATGCAAATCCCGCCAGTACAAGCGCTAGCCAATCAAACCGCGTGCAAGCTGGGAGAGCCAGACCGTAGTTCATTTCCTCATATTCCAAACGAGAAATTACGGTAGCAAATCACCCGGTTCTTTACAACCAGAACTATTTACCGGGATACCAGGAACCAGGCATGGAGGGAGGTGGCAGAGACAGTGGGTGAAACTGGTAGGTTTTCGCCTGTTTGGGGAGTTTATATCCAGTTTACTTCGTTTTAACATTGCTATTGCTTTGTATGTCGGGGGCGGGAGATTCATGTGATTGGATGTTGGTCGCGTTGCTCGCAAAAAATCGCCAAGCTTCAGACACGCCCAGCTTCAAGATTTGTTTATGCCTGTAGTGTAGACGGGCCGTTAGCCTACTGTACGGAGGCTCAGTCACTGGTACTTTTTCATTTACAAAGCCATGTTGGATAAACTACCATCTTATATCTCTGCTCTCTGATCTCTCTGCGAATTGAAAGTACTTATTGCCTGAGATCGCATGCTGTGGTTTTATTAAATGTGCCAAGTGCTAGGACTGTCTTAGGGAAGAAAGCTTTTAGATGTGCAGCTCCACTAACATGGAACAGTCTGCAAAAAGAATGGAAAATTACCAAGCTAGTACCACTACATGTTTTTAAAGCTCGGTTGGATGCTACAAAATCAGATGCTGTTGGTACCTGTACATGTGGTTAAATATGTAAATTGTAATCCCTGTACATTTTGCTGTATGATGTCCTTTTGTTGTTCTGTTGTTTATGTTTGTATGTCTTCTTGTGGAACCTACTGCTGCAGGTCTCCCTTGAAAAAGAGATCATTGATCTCAATGGGATTTTACCTGGATAAATAAAGGTTTTGAATTTAATTTAATTGAACGCGACCAACAACCAATCACATGAATCTCCCGCCCCCGACATACAAAGCCAAAAACCCCGGGGATTTTATGCGAGCAATATATATATATATATACACTCCCCAAACAGGCGAAAACCTACCAGTTTCACCCACTGTCTCTGCCACCTCCCTCCATGACTGGTTCTTCCGGTTTGTATCCCGGTAGGTGAAGAGGGTCTGGTCAGAGCCATATAATAGAATAGTCTTCTATTATATGGCTCTGGGTCTGGTCATACAAAACCGGGTGATTGCTACGGCGATAATTAGTTTCTCCTCCATCTTTTTTTGGAAATATAGAATGAACGGCGGGATATCTCTCCCAGCTTAGACGCGGTTTGATTGGCTAGGGCTTGAGGACTATTTTCAGAAACGGGATTTGATTGGCTGGCGCTGGCTACGCCGGAGACGCCGGAGACGGACCGCTATGCTATGCCCGGCGCCGTGGGAAGGCCAGGGAGGGCCAGGCGCTCCCATTTGACATTCTTGCCCTCCCCCAATAAACACGATTTTTATTATTTATAAAAATAAAAATAAATCTTTTTTTATTTTTTTTGTTATAAATAAACTGTGAACTTTTATGCTACGACGTATGTGATGTCAGATAGTAACTAAAATAAATAAATCGCAGGCTACGTCAAATAAATTCATGTGTCTGTTGTGATTTGTGATTCGTCCACATTTAGACCAATCACAGCGTCACACTCTGCCGCCTATTCTGGATTTGTTTATTGTGCATTCAGTAGACTCCCATATCTGTTTGAATTACAAAATGGACATCAGAAATTGGCTCAAAAGGTCTAAGGATTTATTAAAACGAAATAGCGATGAAAGAGCTGCAGCCGATGCAGCTGCTGGCGACCCTGCACCTGCCATTGCAGCAGCACGCCTTAATGTCACAAGCTTGACCTCGGCAAACCCCGGGGCTGAGTTAGCGAGCCCAAGCCTTGACTCATCAAGGCGGCCGCCACCAACGCTGTCCTCCGAGGCACAGCTCCTTGTGCCCCTACCATCACCACCTGCGTTGCCACCCTGTACCACACCCGCCAGCATCCTCCTCCTGCTCCGTGCCGGTGCCTCCACTACAGACGCTACCTTGCAGCACATCAACAGGTAGGCCTATTGGGCCAGCAACCGCTCAAAGACACCCAACAGGTGAAACTGGATCGTTTTCCAGGGAGATTGTTTTCAGGAAAGAAGCGCATGGTACAACAACAGACCATGGCTTGAAGATTCGTTAAAAGCAGACGCAGCCTTTTGTTTCCCCTGTAGACAGTTTAAAGTCAATACATCTTCATCTGATGCGGCTTTTACTGTCAAAGGTTTTTGCGACTGGAAACACGCATTACAGACTGATAAAGGACTGCTAAGGCATGCCGCATCAAAAGAACACATTTCATGTGAGAGTGTGTGGAAAGAGAGACAGATAAGCGAGGAAACAAATAAGGAAATTAGTACTTTGGTGCAGATCAGCTGGCACGGAACCGTTATTACGTGTCAGCTGTCGTTGATATTATAGCTTTTCTAGCTGTCAACCAACTCCCTCTCAGAGGTGACCACGGTTCACTCCACAGCATGTCCGAGTCAGGCAGTGGGCTCTTCCTATCGCTGTTTGACTATACGCTGCAGTACAAAGATGCAGAGTTGGCCAAAATAATGGAAAGCATTCCCCACACAGCAACATACACCTCTCACCAGGGCCGGACTGGGACAATAAGTCAGGCCGGGAATTATACACCCAGCCAGGCCACTACCAGTTTTTGTTGGGGGCGTTTTGCTGGATGTATCATCAATATTTACAGCGTTGCTGCCCGTAGTGATAGCCCTTAAATCTACCACCCAAATAGAAACATATGGACATAGGTTACTGTTATGCTCCCCCGGGGAAACAATTTAAATTTATTTTGAGTGAAATGCATCAATCTGGTCCATTTTGAGGGGAAAATAAAGAGACTAGATCTATGGAAACACCCATATGAAACAGAACTGTACATTTAAAGAAATGTAAATGTATAATTTCATTCTTATTAATATCTACCTATAGTGATATCTGTTCAAGCTGCAGTGTTGTTTTTGTTCATTCTGAAAAACGAAATAATATTAAATCCCATTTAGTTAACTACAGCACTCAATTCAACGAAAAAGGTAACAGGAGCTATCCATATCCGCTAGTGTATTCCACATATTGGCAAAATAATCACCAAAGCTCATTCCATATTGACTGACAGTCACACAGCACCACTTTGTTAAACACAACCACAGCCCTCAATGCAGTCCTATTTGAACACTCTTTCCTACATACCATTTAATCTTCTCATCAACATTTGCCCCTCAATACAAGTCACAAAAGGATTCATATAAGAATGCTATGATATTATGCTACCTAAAAAACACGATTATATTATTTGTCTGCAAATGATTTAGATGCCAGCTTCAGCCCATCTATTCAATGCAGCAACATTACAATTCAGTTACTTCAGGTTAGCAGCAACTTAAACTTAACAGAAGTCTGAATCTGGTTTTCTCTGATCAGAGCAGTGAACATTTTTTGTACGTATTTTATCATCTAATAATAATAATAATAAATTGTATTTATGAAGCACCTTTCATTGCTAAAATCAATCCCAAACTGCTACAGTAGGCATAAGAAACAAATAAAAGTTCTGAAATCTGAACAAACAGATTTAAATGTTAAAATATTTGTTTTTATTTAAGATCAAATAATCAATACTAAGAATCACATGTCCAGCAAATATGTTTTTAAACTAACTGCAGGCTCTGCAAATCTGCAAATCCCCCTCCCCTGAAACTACATAATGCACCTTTGGAGATGCTGTCTTACCTTAGAAGGTAAGCTGGCGGCACATCAACTCACTGGTCTCTGCGACCTTGTCAATGACATTGTCACTGTCAAGTCCCATAAGGATTTCCTTCTCTGTTGACATCAGCAAAAAAGTCGTCGTCGTCGTCCCCGTGAAAAATGTTGAGATTTTTTTTCTCAATTCCTGCATTCTAGTGAATTTTCATAGTAACACTGCACTTCAGACAACCTACAACTGGTGATGGTGTCTAGGTCTTTAAGTGTTAAACAGCTGAGAGCAGTCACTGCTGTTTTTTGTGGTCTTCTTTCACACACACATCTTACCAAGTGTGTATGAACATCCTCACAAACCAACAAAGAACATGATCTATATCAAATTTAAGACAGAAAACTCCACACTGGTATCTGATCGTCAATCACCGGATAACTTTATTTTAACTATATACAAACTGGTGAATGAAATGAGCAACAATCTTAATGGTTGCACAGACGGCACAGCCTGTTTGAGCAGTGGATCCGTCGCGGCTTGTCAAAAAACCTCTCCAGGGCTTTCTGGTATGGAAAGTGTTCCGATTCCGGTCCATCTATGGATATTCGGAGGCATGCTGCCAGGTGCTCCCCCTGAAGTCTATTTCGCAGGTCAGTTTTCACCTGAAAAGCATGAAAACAGGCACCAAGCATTAAAATAACCATGCAGAAATCAAAACAAGTGCTAGAAAATAAAAAAGATGACTGTACAATCATTGAGCTGCAGTTCAGAAGTAGCCAGCAGAGGCCACCATCAGACACTTGGGCTTTCTTTATACAGCTTTTATACTCCAAAGTTTTTTTTTCATATCCAGGCTGCACCTGTGAAATAATTTGGATGTATGTATTTTCCGTACCCGGTTCATCGTCGAGAAGTCTCGCTCACAGTTCACACTTGAGACCGGGATCACCAGCCCAGCCGCAGAAAGCTTGCCGAGTAGAGGATAGAGTTCGGCCCACTCATCGTTCTCGCTTGCCAGCATCTGCATGATCTCAGCTTGACTGTTGTCCTTCAGAAGTTTGGAAAAAGAGCATACAATAAAATTAACCATACGCAAGACAAGATGAATCAATTCTGGTAAACAAAAACAGGCAAGTTTACTTACCTTGAAAGCTCCTGTGAGGTGGGGTTTGAGCTGGCCGGGTGTATGGAGGACCGTGAGGATTGGCGAACCCGTTGGCAAACTCGTCTAAGGACGACCTAGTAGTAGTAGTCCTTGATTGGCTCAAGTTCACACCTTTTTAGGGGCGGGGCTAGTGATGTTGTCCCGGGGATGCTTAGGAGTTGATAAAGGAGATAATCCCACTGACGTCATCATTTGATTCCAAAAGTGGGTCTGGACTCGCGCCCATAGAGGCTGTTTACCAGTATAATGGCTCCCCCCAAAGTATAATTTATGGGTGGCTCCCCCCAAAGTATAATTTATGGTTTTTTAAGTTTTTTTTACTCACTGAGCACTCATTGCCACCAATGCAAATGCAAATGAGTGCTCACTGAGTAAAAAAAACACACAAATTATACTTTGGGGGGAGCCATTATACTTTGGGGGCCCCCCAAAGTATTAACATGCTGTGGGAATCACTGCAGCATATGGGACAGTTCTAACATGTCGACAGTGTCGAGGATGACATTATGTGCTTTGATCTTGTAGTTTCTCTCAGCATCTGAAACAGGCTCATCTTGTGCCACTTCACCTGGCATGAATTTCTTTTTTCTAACTCGTTTCTCTGGGAGGGCAGTCTGAACTTCCAAATCACACTCATCCTGTTCCTGTAGAATGCCATTTGCCCATGCCACAAACTCATCTGCAGCTTTCTTAACACCATCAAAGTCCCTGGAACACTTTCTCAGGCTGTCTTCAGTTCCCTTCACCAAGTGTTGAGCAGTAAGAATGTCCATACCACTGGTCTGCAGATATTTTGATAGGGGGGAAGTCTGTTCAAATATCCGGAGAAAAACCTGTGCTGTAAGTATGGTTTCGTACCTCAGAAGTGCCTCAATGTATCCTCTGGCTTTGACTCTCACAGTAGGCTTCATAGTGTCATCAAGCTCTATTCTTGTCATGGTGATCACTAAGTCGATATAAAGGGCATGGCCAGGATTTCCAAAACAGCCAAATACTTTGTGTAAGGCTTGGTCCTTTGACCACCAGCGAGTTTCTCCTATCGGAGCAAGCCGTCTGTGTCTGCTGTCCTTATTGACTTCGTCCCACAGGTTCATCCGTTTGTAAGACTCCCTGATGAAAACTGCTAAATCATTTAGCAACGAGAAGAGGGATGCACTTGAAACGACGACTCCAGTAGTGTCTGTTAAAACAAGGTTCAAAACATGTGCATAACACCATATGTGGACTTGGTTGGGAGACTCTGGTGATCAATGTAGAGAATCCCTTGTATTGCCCCTGCATGTTAGCAGCTCCATCAGTCGAGTTACCAACACATGTCTTGATGTCAATGTCAACTTTCTCCAGAGTTGTTTTCACCAGCTCCACAAAGAATGCTCCTGTTGAAGACTCACAATCAATGACAGCTATAAGCCTCTCATGGATGACATCAGTCACATACCTCAGGACTACTGCACACTGGTCCTTGGATGTCAGATCTTGTGTTGTGTCAAGTTGGATCGAAAACACTTTGCCTTTTTAACTTCACTTGCAACAGTATGTTGGATTAAAATACGAATGACATCAATGATTTTGTTCACTGTTTGCTTTGAGAGCAGAGTTAGTAACGACCCCCTTCCTGCACCTCCAGCCTCATGCAACCTCTTGCTCTTCTTAATGCAGTCATTGACGTGTTCTTGAAGGGTGGTATCATATTTGCTCAGCAGCATAATCATTTCCAAGAAGTTCCCATGATCCAAGGCCACATTTTCAAGGCTATACGCTGCTTCATGACTACCACCCCTGTAGCTGAGTCCACGCTTACCAATTAATTTTATGACATTAACCACACGCTCCATAACTTGTCTTTTCTTCCTCACTTCCTCTCGGTGGGCTGACATTTGTTTGTCTCTCAGTAGGCTACTGATATCAGCTCTGCTTGCTCTCAGGAAATATGCATTTGCACTATCTCGATGCAACCCGCTTCTTTCATGCTCTTCAATTCTCTGGTGAACGTGCTTCCATGCCTGCATGCCTCCTTTCACAAAAGCATTGTCACTGGCAGGCCTGGCAAACATGAGACACAGCGAGCAATACAGAGAGTGCGATGATTCACAGTAAGTTAACCATTTCCTATTTGTTTCATCCTTGCTGTGGTTTATTTTAGGAATGGCTTTCTTGGAAGTTTGTTGTGGGTGGTAAGAAAAAAATAAGTCAAAATCTTTTGGCTGAGGGCGAGCAAAATAATCGAAAGGCCTCTCTGTGTCAACTTCCTGTACTTCCTGTCGTTCCCTGTCTTTCTCCTCAGTTGCAATTTCCCTGCTGGACCCTGAATCTTCACTTGTCTTTTCGACCTCCTCAGCGTCTGCTGGTACTGAATAAGAGCCAGCATAAGGATTAAACTTGTATCAATAACTATATGTAACAGTAACTTATTGAGAGAACATGAACATAGCTTGCTTATACTGTTGTCATTACATTTCCTTTGGTTTTGTTCAGTGTTTTCATAGTCATAGCCTATTGAAACAGTTTCCTCTGTACCTGCCAGTTCTGTCCTAGCACTGAGCTCTGCCTGCATCTCTCCCTCAAGGCCATCACCATCAGCGTCATCTGATCGTGTTACTGAATAAGGAGAACATGTAATCACATTAACAATTATTTATGAAATAACATTGTTCAAGAACATGTTTCAGGAATATTTTTGTCATCATTTATGTTGTTTTCAATTGTTCATACTGTAGTTTAAATCTCACTAATATCTAACATGTTCCACTGTGGACTGTTTGCCCTGTACCTGCCAGTTCCTCTGTGCTGGTGCTTGGTTCTCCCTGTGAAGGACCGACACTGCTATTATCTCCACCTTTGCAAAGGAAAAATAATGAGGACCCCAACTTATTTTCAATTGACACACGTGTCAGAGTACATTATAACTGTATAATGGCCTATTCGAGTTTACTTCACGTAGGCCAATGCCAATGTTGGTGGTTTTGAAGGAGATCCAGTACTATAATTAATTATACAACACTTATTTGTATCACTTAGTTCAAGTTAGTTGACCCTGTATTTGCATGGCCTAATAACATACTTATTGTCTCCCCCTTTGTTGCACAGTTATTCACTCACAGTATGGGGTATGTAGCCCCAGTTAGCTGCAGTCTAACGGTTATATTAGCCTATATATTTGCCTTGAGTAACATTAAGGACATGTTTGGGTTTTTTGTAGCCTCACAGTCTCAGTCACACAGGGTCTGCCACTAACATGACATTGGACTGAGAAACTGTTTTGTTGACAGTCAGTCGATGTGCACATCAGGCTACAATATAGAAAGAAATGTTGCTCATAATGTTGGCTAACTTACTTTCGGCTTCGTCATTCTGTACCATACGGGGGGTTCTGAATAAATCTGTGATTTTAGCACATTTCGCTGCCTCCTCCTCGCGAGCTTTTTTCTTTTTCTCCCTTTCCCTCTCTGCACCACCTTTCCTCCTTTTTTTCGCAGGATGGGGGTCCATCCTTCCACAATAATTAAGCTTGCCACCGGCGTCAGTTCAGTCGTTCCAGTCCACACTAAATCAAATGGCAGCGCACACGGGTCTCGTGAGAAACGTCACATCTTCATTATTCTCCTGAAATGTAAATGTGCCGAATCGCTAGTCTGACAGGTGCGTGGTTCTCACTGCGCCTCATACCGGTGCAACTTTATTTTGGACACCTGCCTGCCGCATTCATGGATTTGGCCTGCAGTCACTGCATCTGGGCTTAATTAAACACGTATTATTTTAGTCTTGTGTGTTTATTACAGGCTATGTCAGCAGCAGGCCAGATCATATTATGCCAGCGTTGCGTTCAAAAGACATTTTTAAAAAAAATCTCAGGCGAGCAGGCCACTTAACAGGCCAAGCCATCGGGAAACCTCCCGGTCCTCCCGATGGCCAGTCCGGGCCTGCCTCTCACGACATGCACAATGCCATAATAGAGCTAACCAGGGGCGTCGCCTGGGGTAGGCATCCGGGGCTTTAGCCCCGGATGTTTTTTCTTTAGCCCCGGACAAATTCTCCCTCAATAATATAATACATTAACCTACTTTACCTATAGGACAGACGGCAGGAATGTAATTTCCCATGTTCAGTGAATGCAACACAGAGGCAAGACGACGCCACCAGACCAATCAGAGAGTTGCATGGAAATAAACGTGTTTTATTGGCTGACAGGTACGTACCTCTCCTCTGTGACAATGTTTAAACTTTAAACTGTCAGCCCCGGACGCGGAGATTCTGAAGATTAGACATTTATTTAATAAAAAAGACGGCAATTCTCAAGTGGTGGCTCACACAACAACCCCAGAGCCACCACCTGAGCCAGATGAACAAGGTATGTAGCTGTCAGTAAACTTACAAGTTATGCGAACATGTAAGCAAAGCATACATTATAGCTACGTTGACGTTACTTTGAATCGCGCGGGTAAGCTAAACCGTTAGCAAGTAGCTATAGCTAGCCAGATATATTAAATAAACACTTTGTCATACAATCTAAATGTTGTGTTTTTTAGCGTTACTTGGTGATTTCAAAGAAAGCTCTCTGGGAAATGTTGACTTACTGTCTGTGTTCGACATGAAGCTAGAAGCTACCTTACAGTAGTACACAGTTGATCCTGATTCCTGAGTCCTGTCAGTTAAAGTGTTTCATAGTTAGCTTAGCTAAGCATCAACCTAGCACTGAAATATATATATGGATGTTATGTGACAGTATTTCTGGGAAAAAGTCAGCTGAAATGGTGGCATAGTTGCCACTGCTTTACGTGTCGACAGCATGTTTGAACGTATTTGCAGCAGTAAATGTGGCTGTCTGGCCACTGACGTTGCCATAACAACACCTGCATTTAAATGTGCAACCTCTTTTTGTG